AAGCTTCAGCAGTTCTTGTCGGGGGGGTGTGTCGGGGGTCTGTCTGGGGTGTGTCTGGGGTGTGTCCGGGGTGTGTTCGGGGTGTGGCCTGCAAATTACAAATCACGATGCTACGGACCCACTTTGCATACCCCAGAACACACCCAAAAGCTTCAAAAGTTCTGGTTTGCTGCAGTTTAAATAGTAATTTCTTTGTCAAGGCAAATCTGCATTACAAATTTTATTTCTCATGCTGAGGAAATTTGTCATGCATTTGTACGAGTACGATACTTTTGCAATGCATAGTCGTCTCCAGGTATTTGACCACGTTGGTTTTCAGCCTTTCCGGTTCGCCATAGGTCAGCTCCGAGAAATCGTGTTCTTTTTCTCTTCTCAGCGCTTCGATTTGGTTCTCGTCCGAGCTGCAAAACTTGTACATGGCCGCCGCGGACTCGAAAATCTGCAAGCAGGGCCAGGAATCCTGCCAGGCCGCGGTGGTCAGTTGGCGGAGGTTGTGGAAGAGGACGTGTTGAAGATAGTGCTTGTCGTTGTTCTCGTTTTTACCGTGAATTTTTGAAGAAGAAGAAGAAGCCGCCAGCACACCACCACCAGCTCTATTGCAGTTCAAGCCTGGCAAGGTGCACTGCAACAACACCGAGGGCTCGTTCAAAAGATCCAGTACGCGCAAATTTTCGGGAAAGTGCCCCCGCAGGGTCTCGTGGCGGTCAATCAGTTTCGCCACGGCTTCGTCGAGTCTTCGCCGGTCAAACTTGTTTTGAAAGGCTGACAGCGTCCAGCTTCCCATCGGTCTGTGGTGCGGGGGGACGAACCACCAGGCACGCCGCTTTTTCTTTCGGCTGGAGGTAATGCTGATTCCTTTCGGTGCAGTTGAGTCGCTCGTAGCTGCACTTGCACTTGGTGAAGAAGATGATGATGCCACAGCTGCAGGAATCTTCCTCCTCGACGACGACGTCGGCGGTGGTGTAAGACTAAGAGCAAGTTCAAGCGGACTTTTTTCTTGCTTTGTCGCATCATCAAAAGACGAATTTTTATGGTCCACCACAGAGGGTGCGCTCACCACCTCCTGCAGCAGTTCCTTCGCAAATTGCAAATTCATCAGCCGCTGCGCGCTGATTCGTTTCCCCAGGTCTAGTTTGATACGACTGGCGAGGGACATGACGAGCAAACTGTCCAGTAACCCCTCCAATCTCGTATCTTCAAACACCTCCTCCAGGTTCAGAAGCTCTGTCAAGATCTTCGTCAGGTCCCGCGCCTGCTCGAGCAAATGCTGGCTGTTTTTCACGATGCTCGCTGGCGTCGTGCTAGATGAAGCAGAAGTACTAGAGCCTCTATTTCCATCTCCCTGTGGCTGGGCTGCCACTACACCCACGGTCGCAATGATATCCGTCAGCCGGTGCTTCTTCGATTTCAGCAAAGCGTTCCCTCCAGTCTCCTTGTCTTCCGTCGGGGTTCCGGTTTCTTTCTTGAAATGTTCCACAAGGTCAGAACTAGAAACGGCGACGAAGTCGCAGGCGTGCTCATCATACCACCAGTCTTCGTAAATCGCTTTCAACTCGGTAGTATGCATTGGAAAAGCACTGCATTTCGTATGAATTCATGTTTCTGAAATTCACATCTTTTTTTTCAAATACTAAGCACGCTACGCAGGTATAGAATGCATGCTGCATCACAAGAATGTGGCTCTGATGCCCAGCATGCCTTGCGACGTTGTAAACTCATACGAGTCAGCAGCACGACACTGTACTTTTTACAGCGGATAGTCTTCCGTGAATTTTTCAAACATGTTGTTGGTCTTCGAGTGGAAGCTAGCGGATGAAATAAAAGTCTGCAGCTGTCGTCGTTTCGCTTGCTGTTTTTCTTGCTCCCGTTTCTGTTTCGCGCGAAATTCTTTCTGCTCCTCTTGCCGCTTTTTTTTCAGGTCTTTCAGAACGTCATCCAGCGGACTGTCTCCGTTCCGGTTCTGCCAGTCCTTGTGGTACCAAGCTTCGTCGTGCCAGTACCAGTCCCCATCTTTGTAGCCAGGCCAGGCCGAGATTCGGTCACTGAACATAAGCTCGAGGTCGTTTGATGCCCCAGCATCTTGTTTTTCCTTTTGCTCTTCCACCGAAAGAGGTGTAACAGAGCTGGAATTCGAATTATTATACATCTCAGCGTGGACAAACAGTGAGAGGATCCGATATTCACACAGACCAAATCTCATTCGAGGATGCAACTGGAGCGTTGCGGGCACGCACAACGCGACCAACATCCCAACAGCATTGGGCCAGAACTGCGTAGCACGATCACGATAGATCTTCACAGTACGAAATGAGCACTACTACATGAAACTAACTGGTAGTGATCATGTCTACAGTACGACCCAGTGGGCATCCAAGATCTAGCTTGCCAATAGTGCTTCACAGGTCTGGGATGAACACCCTTGAGAGAGCGCACGATGGTGCGCACAGTGGGCCTTCTGGCCAGGCATGGGATTTTTACTTTACTGAAATTGATTGAGAAACACTAGCTGACGCTGCACCTGTAGCATCTGTTGTTCTGCATTGTACACAAGTGCAATGTCTTTTCCTGCTGCGGCTTGGTAGTGCATGGCGGTTGCCGCATCAAAGCCGAGCCAGTCTGAGTCTACTACAAACAGGCCCTCAAGAATCCAGTTTGTGGTCTCTTTCGGGAAGAAAAATTCACTTTTAACATGCATCTTGTAATCTTTAGTGTAGCGCAGGAAGTTTCTTCTTGCTGTCTTGCGGGTCCACCCAAAGTGGTCCGCTATCCTGTTCATATTGAACTCGGGTATTGCATACACACCACCTAGGTTCAAGGATGCTAGTTGCAGCCTGAGTGCTAGTGCTGCTGTCCTGCGACAGCAGTGCGGCGTGCTTTTCAACTTGCCCTGTACTAACTTATTGTAGTACGCTTGCCGTGCATCTGTGGAGCAGCTACTTGGGACTGTTACGCATCGGTGCGGGACTAAGACAGAAAACAGTTCGCCTGGTAGTGGGTTGAATTTTACATGATCTGTAAATATCTCTGCCCACTTAACTCCATCCTGATCTCCTATGTCATAGATGCACTCGCTTGATACTGGTGCAAAACTACTAATGCGAAATGCTGTCGCGATCCAAAATTTTACTAGTATCAGATCTGATGCTCGAAGGCCCTGCATCTGCGTCCTAGAGACGGGGGTGGCTTTTTGTGGGTCTGCTTGGGCTTTGAGTCTATTCAGGCTGGCGTAGCATGTCCACTGATTTTCGTGGGCGAACGGGGACCTGGATTCTAGCTTATTGATCTGCTTTAGCCTTTGTGCGATTGTGCTGATGTGTAGATGGTACGAATTCCCTTGCTCTACGTCTATCAGGTGCTTACCATACGCGTATAGTTCTGACATGAACGTCATTTCCGGGCACTGGAGCGTAGCCAGCGGCTCATTATATTTTGGTATTCTAATTTTCTTCGTGTAGTTCACGTTAAACCAGCTTACGAACGCTGCCCATCTGCACGATCTATTTCTTGCGTAGTCATAGCCGTACGAAAGCTCAGCTGGCCACACACGAAGTTCTTCATCGATTCGTAGCTTTACTTTTGGGTCTCTGAACAGGTTCGCTGCACGAGAGTTCGGGCGCCTGGGCTCTTTTGCTTGTGCTTTTGGCCTTCGCTGCACCTGAGGTGAGGGAATATCTTTTCACAAACTGCTCACAATTTTTTCAAATTTCTCGATTTCTGACGACACAAACTGCAGGGCTTCACCTAGTTTTTGTGCCCAGTCCGGGAGAATTTCATCAACATGCACTGCTCCTGTCTTCGACAGGAACAGCTCAAAGTCGCGCTGTCTATCTCGTGTGACTGCGTCTGAATGATTTAGCTTGCTGCGCACGTAGTGCGTGATAGCTTTGTTATTATCATCGCGCCTGCGGCGCGTTATCAGGGATGCCATCACTGCCCCCGGTACGTCGTGGGCGATTCCTTTCACGACTGCGAAGGCTGCCCCTATATTATCTACATGCGATATTCCTACTGTGTTCTTGAGCATCTGCTCGAACAGAACTTGGCCTACGAAAATTGCAAGAAGCTCATAGAAGTATATTTTCCGGTTTTTTAGCCGTGTGGGCAGCTCGAAGTTTTTTACTAGCTTCGAGTGTGACAGTCGAAAGTAATACGGCACGGAGTCGTCTCTGTGTATGACGCCTCCGAGCCATATCCCATCGTCGTCTTGTGCGGCGTCTGTATACAGTTCAGCGCACTGCTCATGTACCATAGCTGCTGATAGTGTAAAGGGGGCGTTTTTCTCGATAGCATCTCTGGTTTGCAGAAGCAGCACCGATGCTGCTTTTCGTGTGCCTCCTTGCTGGGGCGCGTTCATACGCCCTTGCTCGCGCGGGCACGTGAGCCTGTTCAACAAGGAGATCGCTGCGCCACAATCCGCATAATTGCGAAAATACAGATGGTGGATCAGGGTGCCTAGTAGCCGCTGTGTTTTGACTAACGTCACAGCGCAACACGCTACAAGGATGAGGAAGTCATCTATCAATTCCAGCGCAGACACCACTTTGTCTGGGGGCATGTCAAAGTGTGCGCTCTCCTGCTCGGGGCGGTAGTTAATGCCTAACACTTCTACAGTCTGTCCTATGCGACCTACCTCATCTTTTCTGTCGCTCTGCGCGTAGCCTAGTGCGGCCACTATCCGCTTGGCACACGACAGTGCGTGCGCAGCAAGCACGGCTATCATCATGCTGATAATATCATCGATGTACACGTAGAAGGGGGCTCTTAAGTAAAAACGTAAGACTTTTTGTAACAACTCGGACGAGCTGCCTACAAAGTGGAATACCGAATGCAAATTGCCAAATGTAAGCGCTGTATTCCGCACTACTTCTACGGACCCATCTGGGCGTATTACACTGATGTAGTAGTTTTCACTTTCATTGTTCGCTAGCTGAAAGTACGCTTGGTACAAATCTAGTTTCGACAAGCATGGGACAAAGCCATCGGAGTTATCCGGTGGCTTCCACCCTCCTTTGATCCTATCTATGTCTTCCCAAGAAGCTCCTGTGTCAGCATTTTCTAGGATTTGCGTGTACAGGTGGTTCTTGAGAAACACCACTGGGATGTCACACCCCGGGGCAATCACAGACTGCACTGCATCGACGATTGTCGGGAAGTCGCTAAGGCTAAGGCGTTCCTGTATCGCGGACATTTTGTTA